TAAGATGGCCGCCCCCGTACGACTCGAACTTTAAAGTTGAGGAAACAAAGAGTACACAGCGGATAGACACTGGTTCATTTATAATTAGTCTCCGGCTCAGCACCGTTACGTTTGAATCCTCGCACCTGCTCAGCTTTATATGGCGGATCAAAGGTGAATACGGTGCGTGCACAGTGTTTTTTGTCGAAGACAACACGCATACACCTAGGAATATTAACGTCATGACGCTGAAATGTACGGCTAACATTCCGAGCGTCAAAAGAACTACTTTGAAAAAATTCCCTACGCGAAGTAATGCCAAGACGCTTATAGCTAAATCTCGTAAGTCAATGAACCGCCCGAGTTTTGTTGTCAAACATTGTCTCCCTTTGCGCCTCATCCCCTTCTGCCACCCACACGCAGCCCGCCCCGCGACGGTATCGATGTTCCGCAATAAGAAACATTTTGTCGGTAGTTCTCGCGAAGTTTGCAGCGCACTTCCCCACCTAAAACTTGTATTTTGTATAACAAAAGAAGTTAACATTTCGTTAACTTTGTAAAAAAAATTATTCATCTAATTATTGTACCTAATCTCTTACAGCATAGCTAGCCGTATATGCTTAATAATTAGGCGAATTAATTTCGTCCATTACTATTCTTTCTTCGATACGTGTCGTAAGGAATTCCTTAGAAACATTTTCACGACCTTCTTCGAATTTAGGAATTGGAGCTTTCAGAGTTACCCATAATCGAGTTACTTTCTTTTGGAAATGCATTGTATCATTTTACTAAAGTGATCAGAATTATTAGTTATGAAACATACATGAAGATGTCGTTTGATCGTGTTTATTATTTTCCTCAGACACAGTACTTATTTTATTACAATACAAATTTAGGCAAAGGCTGAACATAATTTAAAACATTACGGATACCGCAAAGAGTAACAAACAGATCTCACGTAAGGTTAAGGCCTGTTGAAAGCTACATAAATGTCCGATGACATCGATTGTGACGTAATAATGGAGCCAAAAAATTGTCTTCTTCGGAAAAAGTGAACACATGGATTTTTGAGTAAAGTATAACTGATAAGTTGACCCCAGCCAGCCATCCAATATCGTCAAAGAACCCATTGAGTAGCTCTAAAACCCCCGACACCCAGCTCAAGGTATAATGTGTTTGTTCCGCTTTGAGCCGAGCTCAGTGGATTTGTGGTTTGCGTCCACGTCACCCTTTCGATTCTAGACTCGCAAGGCTCTTTCCGTGACTCTGCACAGAACCGTTTTGTTCGCTCGAGGCGGGTTAATCATACAACTGACATTGACCTGACATGTCTTTAAGGCACTGCTTTCATTTGGGCCTTGTCCAAAATTTTATCGGAATCTGTGGTGCCTAATAATATAATAAGGTGCAAATCGTTATTTATGGTAATTATATTAAAAAGAGCTTCTGTTAATTAAAAAAAAAAAAACTAGTTATATCAGCGATACCGAAGCGATGTGCATAAATATTAGTTCTTAAAGTAAGCTCGGGTGTCGCTTGGCCTTTTTTTTAATCGCGATGATATTTCAACACGTAAAAGGCATCGCTACATTCCGATCGATAACTTTAAGTCGATTATGAGTCTCTGAATACCGCCTGATATTTATATTGTAATGTATCGACAGGTCAACCGTTGAGTTTTAGTGATCCCCCATTGTGATTTTTTTTTATTTCATGTACGGGATTTAATTAGTGTTTTTATGAAAAAAAAGGTAATTGCGAGCCGGGAAATCAGTTTGTCACGGCTTTACTAAAAACCTGATAAGCTTTACTGCCAATGATTGCAAAAATGGTTGAAAAGATAGATACTTTTAGATACGGAATAGATATCTTTATGATTTAGACTTAGTTTTGGCCGTTCCGGCCTGGACGTCTTCCCATTATACTTGTGGAAGTAGTTTCCATCTAATTCTAAATGTTTACACTTTTAGAATCCCAATTGAAAGGACGGTCGTGACGCGAAAAAATGTCACGCGAACAAGTTAACACTAAATGATTTTGAACGTGCGAAATCGTCAATGAACTTTCTCGCTTTGCGCGGAACCCATGATGTGTCAATTAAGCTTAAAAACGCTACCGCCTCCCTTAACTACGGTGTTTATATGCGCGCGTATTTCGCCACGTCGATGTAAGCTGTGTCTGCGTCCGTCGCTTGACGCGCCGCCGATGTATGCTATTATAATTAAAATATTCCTTATGAATACGATTACTCGGTACGCGAAGGTTCCAACTTTTCCGAGCACCGGCGATATTAAAATCACGGTAATGTTAACAACGCCGCCCCGACGCGCTACGGCCTTTTAATTTAATCACATATTTGCCGTACATACTGCCCGAATTTATTGAAATTATTTAAAATTAAGCGCCATCGGGAATGCTCTCGGCGCTATCACTGAGCTGAATTACTCGTAAGTTTTCGGATTGGGCCACACCATGTTACTTCTGTAGTAGGGACTTCCTTGCTTTGATATCTTGCTAAGCCTAAGCTCGATTTGTGGATTTTGATCGTAACTATATTAAATTTTTCTGTATCCTCTTCCTTCTCCCGGAATTTCAATATTTCATGGTTTTTTAACATTTCGGTTTTTATTGGTGCAAAGACCCTAATTGTTTGTGTCACTATGCTCGACATGCGTTCTCATTCAGCTTGATATTTTTAGAGCTAAACTCAATATCACGAAATTGAACCATCGAGGGCATGACAAAGTATCCAAACAACCATCTTCTTAACCATCTAGACGACTTAATTCATCTAGGTATTGCTAGTGTCGGAGAAATTTCTGCTCTCCTCTACTCCTAACGAACAATTTAAAAAGTGGATAAACTTTCTTGTTTCAGTCAGCTTTCCAAAAATGCTCCATCCGTAAAGCTTTAATGGTATTGAAGAAACATGACGGGACATATTAATATTTTTTGTTTAAAGCTTATACACCACACATTACAGGGATAACAATGAAAACCACGCTTCAATGATGCATAATGAAGATAGCATAAGAATGATGCATAAGAAAAGGCACGTATAATGAAAGCAATATCAAACTCGAAAAGCCAACAGGGTAACACTCTAAACGGGACAGTTCAACGGGGATTGGAAACGCGTTATCTATAGGATGTTTGACACGAACATCTGTTCCTCGCGCCTCGCCGCCCGTCCGCAGATCCCTTAGAAGGCACTGAGGTGAATTGAGCGGCGCCCTATAACACCTTTAGTGCCCGACGCAACGACTCCGATTTCAATACTTTCCCACGCTACCGGCTGTATCGGCGCTCGTCATGTTAGAAAATTGTTGTTGCAACGTTTTATTTGCATGTCATCAGTATTATGTGATAACTTTAAAGATAATTCTATGCTCAAATGCAGAACGGATCAGCTGTGACTTTTAGATGCATTCGGACCACGATTAGGGCCTTAAGGGATGAGTCTGGAACAAAAGCAATCACTTGCAATCCAATTTCCATTTCAATCAAGCAATCTAAGTCCATCCATCTCAGATACGTCAATCATTGTTTTCTTTCTTTATGCATTTTTACGTTTAATCAGCACTTATTTCACGCTTTATTTTTAATGCATAATTTAAAAATATTAGCATTCTGCACTCCTTCTCTATATAAACTATAGATGTGATAAATTTCATACTCCGCCGTCCGAGCAATTTTCATAAAAAGGAGTACCTACAAAGTTTTTGCTTCACGTATTAAAAAAAAGATTACAAATTAAAAAAAATTAAGTTTTGTTTTAAACAGATATTTCAATCGAACGGTGATATCTAAATTACACTTTAACATAATTTATGATAAAAGAGATGATCCTTACTCCTTCTTAAGTCACACTTTCTTGGCCTAACGAGTATCACATTAGTTAATGTTCAGTTCGCTTCGGTCCCCCCGTTCCCGCTGCGTCCGAAACGGTCGTGTCGCAGTCGTGACGCGACGCCTCGAGCGGCCCGCTTCCGACGGCGATTATCTCGGTTGGGGTTAACTGTTCGGGCGGCACCGTGACACGTGTCCGGGACAAGATTACGTGCACGCGCCGCACTATGGCACCGGTAAAGTCGCGTTCGAAAAACGGCCCGCCAATTTTTAGCCGTCTCAACTCACCCGGGAGTACCCTTTTGCAAACACCTGTTGTCGCACACGATCTATTAGTATTACAACAAACGAAAGTAATCGTACACAGGGAGGCTTTTCTAAGTGTATCCATTTTTTTAAATAAAATTCTAGACATAAATAATGTTAAATAAAAAATTATTAATATTTCAAATCACTCGTGAGTAATTAATTACTGTCATTTGAACTTATCTCAAAAAGTTCGTGATTTATACGCAACTCATTTATTTTACGCGCGATGATTCATAACTAACACAAGTTTGTGTGTGTGTTCAGTAAAATTTAGGTACTTATGAATGACCACCGCGTTGTCAACAAGTCTTGTTTGTTTAGGGAATAGAATGGTAACTTTTTTGAAAAAAAAAAAGTTTGTTTTTATTTAAATAAACGAATATACTAACGAATCTGAACCTCCTGTGTAAATTTGAGCACCTTTAAAAATGTCTCCCTGTATGCCATTGGGCCGATTATGTAAATGTCGTCTGGCTTGTTTCGAAAAAAATAGTAAATTGATGGTTTTTAGCTCTAGACCTTTTTTAATTGCGAACACAGTGCTCGTGGTAAACGTTTTCGTGCAAATGGTATGAACTATTGTTTTTGTTCGATATAAAATGGTTGATAATTTTCAAACGCGCAACTTAATACTTCATCATCTGTTCTCGGCGAGCGTCGGGAGCGTTTTTGTTAAAACGATTCTAGTTTCTTAGAACGTTGCCCACTATTTCTTTCCAAGACGACGTGTGTAGTTTTTACGCCTTTGTGGAACTCGGTCTAACCGACGAAGTTTTTGCGGCGATTTTGCTCGAAATGCAATTGAATTGTATTTAATTGTATTTAAAATATTTTCGAACGCGTCTCGATAATTGCCGTGGACGATGGCGCATTGTTGGCGACTGTTTATGACCACGCTCATGGCGTTCGTAGTGCAGTGGGCTATTTATGAATTCCTCTCAGTTGGTACTATTGCGTACTTTTTACGCATATGTTTGCTGTTATGTCGCAAAGTTTTCATCTTCAGTTTAAGTTTTTATTTCGATTCGTCGCTGCAATTAAGCGTCAAGATCCGTGTGCTTAATTAAAGCGTCTATTAATGTATTTTTGATTGATTGTCTTTTTTTTTCTCTCGAATTTTCTATTGCGCTTGCGTGTTATTTACGTAGTTTTATTTTGCAGTTACAGAACAAACCCATCGCTTTTTAACTTTCGTAACCGTAAAAAGCTAATCGATAAAGCGGGCCTTCCGAAGAATCCGAAGAGTTTTTATAATTTAGAAGGAGCGGTGTCCCGCCACTTCCGCGGTTCGGCATTAACGCGGCGCAGTATAGACTTAGGCAATATTATTGCGATAGCACTGCGCGAGTTCATTGGCGGGCAACGACCGAGCGCGGGGCGAATTAGCCGACGGTTGCGGCCACAATAGAAAAACGCGCAGCGGTCCGTGTTCATTAAATGACATAAAATTAAAATGATTAAGGGTTCACGTTGCGTAGCGGCCGCCGCTTAGCGGTGCTGCTGTGGCAATGGCGGTCTGCGGGGCGCGGCTGACGTAATTAGCGGGCGGTAATTACGCAGGCGCTGTCAGGGGGCGCAGCGGTGCGTGGACCCCGCTTCGTTTGTCCGCGTGTCCGCTTCGATGCTATTGATGGCCCAGCGCCGAGAGGCTGGCCCCCGGGCGCCATACCCACTCCTCGCGGAGTGTGCACACGGTCAAATTCTAAAAGCAAACGGTAGAGGTTATGCGTCTGTACAACCAAAGCGGCTCTATACGTGAACAGTAGGGCAGATCTAATGATCCATTTTGATCCCGAGCTTCGTTGCGCGGGCTGGGACTGAGTTGGCTGTTCAGACGGATCCCTAAGCGGTCAGTTAATCGGTCCGGTCGTGTGCCGTTCGCACAATTAAAGTATCGTACCGCCGTTCGGCCGTCGGACCGGGCCCCGCGACAGCCACCTGTGGCGTGCAACGTCACAAATCGATGCCCCGGTTAGGGCTTAAACGGTTGTCATTCATCTCCCCCGGAGCCACGCACGGCGAGCGCGCCGCGCGGCCAGCGCTCGACACCGCGTCGCGTTAAATTAATAAACTGTGCGGACGCAACTTTTTCCGGGGCGAACACGCGCGGGGCTCAATATCAAATACAGCGCTTTGTCTTTAGTGTTGGGCCGTGATAGCTCATTGTCCGGGCGTTCGCTTTCAATTCGATATGCTCGAGCAACCTGTGTTCGATCCCCGGTGCGGGCACCAATGATATTGTTAAGTTTAAGTGCTGACTTATCACGTGCTCAGCGGTGAAGGAAAACATCGTGAAGAAAACATATTAGGGAGATATGCGAAGTCCGCCAATCCGCCGTGGGCTCGCGTGGCGGACTATGCCCCCTCTACCCTGCCCTGGGACATAAATGTGCTGTTACTTTACTCTTTTTATTTTAACGTTGTCACTCCTTTAATGGGACGACGTGACATGAGCCCGTTGCCAGGGAAGGCGCCGTGCATTTAATAATGTTACAATATACTATGCGGCTACAAAAATTGATGCTTTAAAGTTCACATTGCCATTACGCCCAAGACGTATAATTTTACACGTATTTAATGACGTTAATGGTACTTTGTTCTTGTGATTATGACGGTACGGTTTCTTTTTTGTAAAAAGAGCCCGTTACGTATTTCAGTATTGAGTCTGTAATTACGAGTACGTATAATAGTTTCTTATAAATAGTTGCATGGAATTTTTATGTCACATTAACACGATAATACGACTACTGTGGGCTAGGAAAAAGTGAGTGTGGGGTGTTTTGGACCGGTAGAGGGGTTGTTCCCTTAACGGGCTGTAAACTTTATTGCCATCGTTGCATCCCTTTTCTTTGGCGAGAAGTGAGAGTGAGCGTCAGTGGTGGTGTTTGCGAGCTTCGGGCGCAAAAAAAGCTACGTCTAGCCCGTTCGAAGAACGCCAAACGGTCGACTTTTTTCTGCACATTTGGTCATCGGCATCCCTATAATTGGTATTAAACGCGACGTTCCCGTGGAGTAATATTATTGTGCACGTGCCACATTCAGACCGTGGACGGAAAACAAATAAATTCCAAGGAATTTCGCTTGAAATCGAGTCAAAACTTTCCGAGATTACCTCATCAAAAGGTACAAACGAAAAACAATGGAGTTCAAATGGTCTTTCTTTTTAGATGGCCGAACAATGAGCGCTAAGGCTTTTGTTTCCGTACCCCACTAACATTTCTACAATCGATCCCAAACACGATTGCGGTGACTCTAGAAATTTCCTTGAAAATGTTACATAATCGAATGCGACCGATGCACTTTCGTCGCACCCACAACGTTAGTGCTTGGTCGTGGTTGATGCTTTCGGGTTGCTTAATTGCACATCTAACCAATGCTGCACAGGCCCTTCTTTGCTACGCTAATCTAAGTGGGTCGGAATGAAACTAAGGTTTTAATTAGAAAAACTAACAAAATGGAATGTGAACAGTGGAAAATATTACTTTATGCGATGACGTGTCCCGGGTAACAAGTGCGTTACTAGTGCGGGCGGTACGATAAGCGTAGCGATAAACTGTAGCGTTTTTTTACTCGGTCGGCGTACTGCATGTTGCTATATCAGCTATGAACATCGGGATTCGAACCCAGACGTATTCTAATTCACAAAGATTCGTTTTCACTCGAATCTCTTATTATAACGCATTCGTATTTTAATTCCTAATTATAAATTAACAATTATATTTACAAAAATCTAATTAGGTTATCCATTAAAATAATTGCAAAACGTATGAAAATAATAATCAATTTAAAGAATATAATAAGTTCCGTATTTAATTAAGTAACTAGCGATCGATTTAAATGACGAAGAGTCGCTTAGCTTCATATCTTATAAAACTCACTGTTAGAAAAAAGACAGGTAAACTGGTTCGTATTTTGCAAAGCGTGATCCTACAATTATAATTGAACTCCCGGCGTTAAGACGGCTTCAGCTAATAAAATAAATTTATAACGTAATAACGGTACGTTTTCATTGTTTATTTTCCGTTTTTCTACAATCGTATCAATCACAAGAGACAAAAGCGTTTGAGCTTATGAGAATCGCCGCCACTGGAGACGCGAGACGGGATGATTCACGACTCCAATCGGCGCGTACTCTCATAACGTGCGTTAATTTGATCTGAAAATAACACCCGTTCTTTGTTTGTTGGATTTTTACGAAATCTGCCGCCGTGTAATAAATGTGCCGATGTGTGTTCCACGTCCGACGCCGCTTCGGCTTCGTCGGTGGAAGATTTTGTTTATGATTTCAGAAAAGATTACCCCCTACTGTTAATGGATAGCTATATGCTGGTAAACGATGTTTAAGTGAAGTCAATTCGCGTTAATTTATCAATTAGGTGCAGGTGTTTTAACGTGTAGTCTATTAGAACATTTTCCGAAACGGATGTTTGTGGAATCGAATACCTTAACTTTGTTGAAGTTAAATTTCTTGGTTAAACCTGCTCGAATAGATTATAACGAAAAACTCACTCGACTGTCTCAATCGAAACGTGGTTTAAAAACTTCGCCGAGCATTTTATAAAGAGGGAAGCGGACAAATATGCTATTGTGAATATGCAATTGATAATAAAGCTTTCGAAAAGGTTTTATTGCTCTCGCTGCAACGAGGTTTCTTTCCGTGCCCGTAATGTAAATGTCTGTCCTTTGAATACGAATGAAGTTTTCCTTTACGTTTAAATATCTGTCTGTATTCGTCATCGATAAGAGACTTGGGAAAATAAGATTCCCCATTTAAGACCACAAGACAAGCAAAAATAATAATATTTAAAAGTTTCTTTTTAGTGTAACTTGTGCAAGGTCCGGCTATTTACTCTCGGTCATGTGTTATTGTTGTTGTAGAATGTCCGTCGTACTAAGACTATACATGAGCTCTAATGATACCATTTTTGTACACATGGTAGAAATCTGCCATACTATTACAGCGACATAATTACCGGCTCATTGTGATTCGAATCTCCGATGACAGATTTCGAGCAACGCACAAGAGGCCTTCGGTACCTTTTCTATTATTTAAATTCCCGATTGATCAATATTAGCTTGAACAGTTAGTTGTAACAGTTGGCCTATTTTGCTAACGTGTGTCGAATTTGATCTTAACATTTAATGGCCTTTTCATATTTTAATGCCCTGTTTTTGTATTACAGGTACGTATCACCTCTGACGTTAATAACACTCTCATCAGCGGAAAGGTCGAGGTAAGTGCCAGTTAATATTTTCCTTTAACTGCGTCGCCCTTCGGCTGCCCGAATTGTCTCTCGAATTCAACTTCACGTACGGTTGGTGTCCGCACAGCTCACGAGGAATTTAAGATGGTAACGAAGCTCGAAGTCCTCTTACATTGAACGTCTGCAATAGCGTCGCTCCCGCGTGATACTAACTTACTTTTCCATGTACAGCGAAAATATTTTGCGCTCGGTAAAGCTAAAATTACTGACATTACATTTATGATAGTATCAGTATATCGCTATCTGATCGCGGCGGGCCGCGTGCAATTGTGCACCTTTTCACTCGCACATAAGGCGTACATTCGCTTGTCGCACCGTTTATTAAGCCGACAGGTGTACAAAACAGTTTTGTATAACGTTCAAATTAATCTCGTCCAAGTTTTTACGGAAATCGTCGGCTCAGTACGAAACTTTATTATTTGTAGGATAGTAAAAAAAAATGAGGAACGGATTACGTGAATGTCTAATCCCATTTTATTATTCATGTATGAGTACAACAGTTGCGTTGTAATGCGCCCGCTATCTGCCGTCGGATCAAAGTTATTACAAAGCGGTACAGCACGGAGTCTTTCGCGATGGATACGGCTCGCATTTTACTTCTTATTTTTATTAGAACATCAAAATTTAATGTAGGCAAATAATACCGAGATACTTTGAGTAGTACTCATTTAAGTGTTCAACAGCGCCTAAAAAACAATAAAAAAATGTAACATTTATGTAATAATAGTACCTTAACTCATCATCATTTTCCTGCCCTTACTCCACGTAGGTGGTAACAACATGTGAATCGTGGTGTAAGCGGTTCGGCTATGTTTTTTTACGACCGGCCTCCCGCCTGACGTAAGAGATTTTAGCATTACACATTACAGGGGATTATTTTATCTAAAAGTAAAATTAAATATGGTAGACTAACTTTATTGTATAATGCTGCTTACAATATTTTACACCAAAAGGCGACAAGTAACCGGTGCAGTTTTAACGGAGAACAAACGAACGGAAAAACGGACTCCGACCGATACGATCTCTATGCCACTTCTAGCGAACGAAGATCCGTGCCGGCGTTCCGCAGTAGATAGTTCTATTGTTTTGTTAGCACTTCTAACAGAAAACATAAAACTTAACGGCCGCCTATACGAATATATTAATTTCGCCTTGTTTATTACGCACGGAATTAATTATAACAGTTAAATGAGCGAGGCAATAATAAAAAAAAATATGTGGAACGCTCTGATTCTTAAATATTGTTCATTATATTTTTATAGACATCGCGGTACAGCCGCGCGTGTTATAAATAGTGTGCACGTGGGACTATGAAAAAAAAAATAGCTTCCCTCATATTGTTTGTTCTCATTGTTCTCTATTTTGATTGTTACGTAGTCCCGGAATGCACTTTCAACACGGCGTATATTTAGAATGGTTCTCTTTTATTTCTTTGGTCCGAGATCAAAGAGTCGCCAATATGAAGAGTCGCGGGTTATGACGGAGTCTCGTGGAAGAGGGCCGTTTAGAGGCCATTAAGGGAATGCTCGGAAGCGATGTCGCTCTTTATCCACACTGCCGAGCCGACCTTGGAGTTATCTCATTCTGCGCGCTGGGATGGACTGCGTGAGCTTAATTGAAAACGCAATAATGGTGAACATTTCTAAAATATTTCTTTTTTGAAAGTCCTTTACTTTATCACTTTTGTCCGTGCAAATTATTTTAATTGCTATCTCATCAGGGATGTAATCCACTGTACAATGATTGCTTTCGCCTTAACGGAGCCTACAACAGATTTATTGAATAAAAATCTAGA